AATTATACCATACTGTTCTCTAAATCGACCCTCTGGAAAGAAAGAAAGCCTGTTTCTAAACTCAATTCTTTGTCCAACTAACTTTAAGTGTTTGATTCATCCAATTCTCAGTTGCTTAGTTTCCTTATCAGAAATAATTCGTCTAGATGATTCACAAGAATACTTCCAGTACTGAAAGACTGTGAAGGAATCCCAAAAGCAATAAATTGTAACTGAAAATTCAGTTCCTGAACTCAATGCCAATCCAAATAATGAGAACAGAGTCTTGAGTGGAAGGAAAGGCTGTACTTTCTTTGTTGGGCAGAGAGAGCAAAGCAACAGCAAGTGCCTTAAGAATTACTAGCTCTCTGTTAGGAAATAGGTAGGGTTTCTTAAGCCTGGGAATGTGTCTGTTTGTAGAGGAGGGGTGTGCTGTGGCCTTGCCTGTCAGCATTTTCCCATAGGCCTGTGTCTGGGGCTGCTTCCAGTGGAGGAGACAAAGGATTCCACAGATGGGTATCTTTGGCTGTTTATCTCCATGGTGGATGGTAGACTCTGGCATCAGGAAACTGAGGAGTTGGGGTCAGAGAAGCTTTAGTTTCTTGATATTTTCTGGACATTATGTTCCCTATAATATACTTCAGGGACCTGTGATTAGTTACAACTTCATTGGGAGCCCTGCGTGAGGCCATCTGGGCTTTTATCAATTTGTGACTTCCGTGTGTTTGTTGAGGGCGTCAGAGGTTAAAGAAACAAATATTTACATATGAGACTAGCTAAAGAAGCAGTGAAAGGAGGGTGTGTGCTTTTGGTTTCAACCCCATATATGCTGGGTTCACTATAGGGGAATCAACATCAGGGCTGGTATTAATCAAGAGCCTGCAACAACATGATGGGCTAACAGATTCAGAAGTAAGCATCTGAAATTAATTATGCCTTCTAGAGGTGAAAATTTTGATAATAGGAAATTTGTTTTTCTTTTAAAAATGTGCATATATGTGTGTGTGTATTTGAACTACACAAATATATGCTATACATATATATTCAAAAATTATCAGGACAATACTTCCTGTATCTCATTAATTCCTCTATGTACCCTATATACCAGTCAGAAGAAAGGGCATTCACCATTTTCCAATTATGTTATGTAGCTTCGTGTATTTTCATGATTTTCCTCAATTTGCTCTTACCTTATGAAAGCTCTCCTTTGCCTTTCCCTATTTTTCTAGTTCTATTTCTACCACTATTAAGTTATTTAAAAAACAAAAAAATCCTACTCATGAAGAAATCCCTAGATTCAGATAGCTTCATAGTCTGATTAGAAAATTACTTCACACAATCAATAAATGAGTAACATCATTCTTGCCTAAACCCTTCAGAGAATTGCAAAATGTGAACACATTTCAAGCTTTTGCAATGAGGCTAAAATGATCCTGGCAGCAGGAGTGGAGAATGTGCATGGACTCAGTAGCATGAGCTTTCACTCACCAAGGCTGCTGTGGCCACAGCCACTCTCCAGTGCCTAACCTACCAACAGTGGATACAAGCATCAGACCTCATGGCACAGTCCCTGAGGGTCCAGCCAGCCTCTCACAGATTGATTGCATTTGACTTCATTCTCCTGGAGGAATCAGTACTTTGTTCTCAATAGAAGATGAGTTGCTCTTGGTGTGCATTTATCATTATTGCTCAAAATTCTTTTGTCAAAACTACTATCTATGGATTTATGGAATTCTTTTTGCATCATCTTATTCTTTCATACAACATTGCTTCAAACCAAGTAGCTCATTTCACAGCACAGGAAATGGGACAATGTACTTATGCTTAAAAATTCATTAGTCTTACAACATTCTCCATATCCTAAAGTATGTGAATTGATTGAAAATATTTTTAAAGCTTCAGTATATGGTTGTGTATGCTAGTTGTTAGTTTTTAGTTCTCTATGTGAGTTGCCACCACAGCATGACAACTGACAGATGGGTAGTATGGTTCCACAACTGGAAAATGAACCCAGACCCTGGCAATGAGAGCCCCCAAATCTGACCTACTAGCCCACCAGGGCTAGTTCTTGATTGAATATTTTAAAGGGTTCTTTAGACTCCATTATGCCACCAGTTCGGTGCCAACACTTTCTGGGGTGGGATCATGTTCTTCAGAGTACAGCAAATGCTTTAAATCAGTAGTATATTTACGAAGCTTTTTTCCTCCCTTACTAGGATTTTGAGTCTGGGCATCAAAGGGTGGAAAATGAGGCAGCATCTCTCACTATTATTCTTAATGGCCCGTTAGGGATTTTGCTTCATATCCTCAAAATTTAAGGTTTTATGCTCCATGTTCCTAGAAAGAAAGAAAGAAAAAAATAATTCTTACAATAGGGAACACAAAAATGGTTCCATTGAAACAGATGCCAAGACTGCTGCCTGGTCACCTGCTGCCTGGTCACTTTGAGACTCTCATGCTACTTAGTCAACAAGCAAAAAAGGGATTTCTCTACCGGTCATGTAACCAGTAACTGAAACCAAAGCTGCAGGATTTATGGGTATATTTTTCTTTTGCTTTGATGTGAATATATTTGTAAATATATTCCACTCCTCTCCCATTTCCCTCCTTCCCAACACAAGATACAATAAGAAGGCCTCAACTTCTATCTCAATATTTTACCAAGTTATAGGGTATAAAAGGTGGTGTGTGAATTAGTTGAAGAGTACTAAATTATCCATATGGATAAAATGACATATGATACTTTCTATATCCTCTATTTCTTTAAGTTATATTCATCTATTAAAAATAAGTAGACTTTTGCTGCTGTCTTTTTTGAAAGATAAATATGGTAAAACAAGATGTGTGTGAGTGGCAAGTTGAAAAGAGGTGGGTTGTTTGGGATCTTATTGATAACTTGGTTATGACTGGGAACTGAATTGCCCAAAGCATCTTCCCAGTAAGGTTTCAGAATTAGTAAGTTAGTAAAATTAGCAGAGTTAGTAAAAAGAAGGATTTGCATGAAATTTGGACATATATCTCCTATATCCACAATATTTATAGTGGTTCTGCTTCTATTACTGAAATGACATTTAAGTGGGCTTGAATAATAGCACAGAGACCCTACAAGCTTCAGCAAAAACCACAGGAAAGGCCTTACTGAAATTGTAGGTAAAGGAGTGTCCTCAGAAAATCCTGACAGTGCTATATCTAAAATACAATTTCAGGCCTTGCTATCTACCATAGAATGATGAAAATTTGGCAAGATTCGGTGAGCTCAGGGTGATGAAATATAGTATGCTACCTGTGGAATGAAAGGTGTAGGCCATCTGGGAAGATCAGCAGATGATAGCAGCCTTCAGAGCCTTTACTAAGCCCGCACAACTGAGTCAAGATTTCATATACCTCAATGCTTCTCCGACTTGTATATTGGAATCACCAGTGAATACTAAAAAGATAGATATGCTCTACTTTTAGCTATTCCATTACTTGGAAAGAGCTATATTTTCCCATAAGTGATATAATAATTTGTGATATAATTATTGAGTATCAAAAGATAGTGGTGTAGCAAAAATAAGATTTTCATATGCAGCTGAATATTACAATGTAGCTGTAATATTACAATGTAGACATTATCATTAATAGACGTTGGCATTTGGCATATGATGAGAGATTATGGGGCGTGAAAAGCTGTACTGCATCTGATACTGCTGTGTGATTCTCTATAAGCTTAACCAAGTAAACCTTGGCTAAGTAAATTTGAAACATAATTTAATATTACAGAATGTTGGTGTGCTCATGTAGCCATGACTGTGTTCTCATCTTACCAAATGAAACAACAGAAATGCTCAGAAGAACGATTTTTGGTCAGAAAACCAAAGAAAAGATTCTTAGGAAAGTTTAAAACTGACAGCGATTTGGACTGTGTCTTTTTACAACAAATAGAACATGTGGTTAAACAGACTTTTAAACTTTGATATTCTCAGGTGAAATCTTGTAAATGTTTATTATCACAGTAAAAACTAACAATAACAAATGAGGTACAGCAAAAATGTCAGCTACTGAGATACATTTTTTAATGATACACATTCTCCAATTTTCATCTTCAAATGCACATTTCCAATGTGGTATTCCACCATGGCATAGGGAATGATCTTCCCATGAGGATACAGATGATACATTACATAGCCGATTGTGTTTCTGAGATGCCAGAGAATGTCTCATACTCTCAGCAATACTTGGTGTATAAAAAATAAAAGAGAAAAAACCAAATATTTTGTCTTGCAATTAACCTATATTCTTTAAGCAGATACTTAGAAAAATTTTCCACATTACTTGAAGTAGCATGGGTGTAGAATGTTATCAACATATTATTAAAATGCACTTAATGTATTTGATTTGTCTTATTACTTTCCTAACATTCTTGACTCTCACCATCTTAGTGTAGAATATACACTTTAATTATTAGATAGTATATAAATATATAATTAACACCTGTCAAGTGCTCAAAATGGTGCAGGCACTATTCTCAGCATTTACTCAGTTAACCATCCAACAATCAGTACTGTAGGTTCTATATTCTTCCATTTTACAGATAAGTTAACTGAGACATAGAAAAATTGAGTAACTTATTCAAAGTACCACTGACTAGCTAGGTACAGAGCTGGCATATGAACAAAGGGTATCTGGCTTCTTCCCTCATCCAGTAATCTACCCTTATGAATGAGATATTCTACACATGAACACACACACACGCCCTTCTGGGGTATTTACTATATCTCTTAAGAAAACCTGATGCAACCTATTTTAGCATTAACTCCAAGCTAGTAATCATTGAACAACAGTGTGTTATTTAGCAGCAGTTTTGAAAATTTTAAATGTTTTCTTATATCATGGAGTAATGAAATGCATTTGGCTGTGTAAAAAACCAATTGTTTGATAAAATCTCTTCTGTAAGAAGTCGTGTGTTCCGGTAAGGTTGTTGCAGGTTTCCAATTAGAGTTTGTAATTGGGGATTCAGATGAATCTTGGAATGCTGTATCTCACAACGAAGCTACCTTTAATTTTATGGCTTTCTTAGCCGCATCTTTCACATCCTTATTTCTCAAACTATAAATCAATGGATTCAGCACTGGGATGATAATGGTGTAGAACACTGAGATAATTTTATCCGTGTTGGGAGAATAGAGGTAGCTAGGCCGTGAGTAAATGAAGAGAAGTGTCCCCTGATAGAGCACCACAGAAGTCAGGTGAGAGGCACACGTAGAGAAGGTTTTCCTCCTCCCACTGGACGATCGGATCTTTAAGATTGAGAGAAGAATGAAAAAGTAGGAGATGACGATGATGATGAAACAGATAATTTCTGCTGAGCTGCCATATGTGGAGAGAAGCAACTCATTAATTGATGTGTCTGTACAGGATAGCTTAAGTAGCGGAGGGAGGTCACAGAAAAAGTGGTTGATGACATTTTTATCACAGTATTTCAGAATAAAAGCAAAAGATGTGTGGACCAGGGAACTCATGTTGTCCCCAATGTATGACAAGACAATCAGCCATATACAGATACTCCGAGACATCACAACTGTATAGAGTAAAGGGTTACAGATAGCAACATAGCAATCACAGGCCATGACAGCCAAGATAAAGGATTCTGTGTCTGCAAAAGTACAGAAAAAATAAAACTGCAGGGTGCAACCATAATAGGAAATAGATTTGTTCACTGAGAGGAAATTGACCAGCATTTTGGGAACAGTGACTGAGGAATAGCAAAGGTCTGCAAAGGATAGATTGCTAAGGAAAAAATACATAGGGGTTTGAAGGTGTGGATTGATCCTGATTAACATCATCAATCCAATGTTCCCCATTAAAATCAAACCATATAATGTCAGAAACACAAGGAATAGGACAATCTGCAGTTCAGGGCGAGTTGGAAATCCTAATAGAATAAACTCAGTCACCAAGGTGTAGTTTCCTGCTATGAATTCCGTAGTCTGTGTTGTTTTCATTTCATAAGATTTCTAACATCCTAAAATGTTATATTGATGGACAGAGAAAAATAATTAGATATAATGATAAGGTTATCTTATTGTTTCAATAAATATACAAAAAAGCAATCAAATAAAAACTCCAAGCCCAAACTTCCTTTCAAATATGACCTCTGAGAAATATATTTCAGAATTTAGCAGAGGTCAGATTTCATGGTTGTTAGTTTTATTTTTTTTTGATTAATGATTATTTCTTCCATTGGAGAGTTAGCTCCCTGCATGCAAGGATCATGTCTGATTTTGCTTATCATTATTCTTACCACAAATATAGCACAATAGCTGGCCCAGAAGATTAAAAGAAGTTAATTAATGGACTGAGGATGATATGAAGAAAAGAAAAAAATATATATATGATAAAAATAAAGTGTCCTACAGAACACGCCTTAGAATGATAATCATAGAACATTTTGCTCTTTCTGTCCAGGTTTAATAGACAGTGGTATGCCATTCCATTGGCAGAGCAGATGGAGTGGTGTAATGAAACATATACCAGTTAATTATTTAAAAATATAATAGAAAAGTGATATTAATTAATTAATAACAAATGTGAGTAAACATCAGCACTGAGTACAGTTTTGATAGGAAAGATTTTAGGATAATTTTATAAATCTTAATCAAGATACTAAAATAAGATGATTAAATTAATCAACTGGTTCTTTCTCTATCTTTGGCATTTATTGTAATTCTTGGCCTCTAGTAAGTGCTCAGTGATTATTAGTTGACTAATTAAAGAAGGCAAAATATTTAGTCATAAGTTGACTTCTAACTAAATAAAATTATTCTATATGGCCTCCTCACTGATTATGTTATAGACAAACAAAAATAGTTACCTGCCATTGATTTTTAACCTAGTATAATTTAGAGTTTTGAGTCTAAAAAGTCTGTCAATTCCTGCTTCTGGAGTCTCCAAATTTCTCCAGAAAAAGGAGCAATTTGAACCTGCCTTTGAAGTACAAAATATTTTATCTTAACCTTAGAGGATGGACATGGAAGTATACAAAACAAACAAGCAAAGCATCCATTGAGCTGTGTTACTCTCACCATAGTGGGCCAGGAAGGAACAAAATGGTCTTGGGGCAGTCTCTCAATTATAAAAGTGACAGTATTAAGAACTTCATTTTGTATATCACCTAATCATTGAAACCACCGAATGACATAGGCACAGAGAAGCCTAAGGGAATCACGAGGGTTAATGTGCTGTCTTATGTCATTGCCTCAGAGAGTGTGAATGAGGTGTGACACTACATTACGACAGTGGTTAATTTATTCTTATGTCGCCTGTTTTGAAAGTAATCAAGGGGCCGGCCTGGTGGTGCAGCAGTTAAGTGCGCAGGTTCTGCTTCTGTGGCCCAGGGTTCACTGGTTTGGATCCCGGGTACGGACATGGCACCGCATGGCAAGCCATGCTGTGGTAGGCGTCCCACATATAAAGTGGAGGAAGATGGGCATGGATGTTAGCTCTGGGCCAGTCTTCCTCAGAAAAGAAGAGGAGGATTTGCAAATGTTAGCTTAGGGCTAATCTTCCTCAGAAAAAAAGTAAAGTAATCAAGGCATTTTAAAAAGATAAGACCTTACTTTAGAGTTGGTAAGAATTTGTTTAGAATCTCATTTTGGCCACACGTGGGCTGTGTGACTTGCGCAATTTAATATGTACATATCTTAAACTGTAGTATAAGAATGACAATAAATATCTCACAAGGTTTCTGTGTGGGTTAAATTAGAAAAATTACCTATTTATTATCTATTTATTTACCTACCTATTTATCATTCCATGTGGTCACATTTTAGACAGACTAGCACATAGTAAAGCAAGCAAGAAAGATTAGTTTCAATTGTTCCACCACTTTCTTTTATCCTTAGCTTTTGACTGGCACTGTGTGGCAAAGTTTTATGAATAATAGCTATCATTTATATAATGATTATTACATGCAATGCAATATTCTAAATACTTTACATATAATTCATTTAATTGTCACAAAAAACTAATGATGCAGTTACTGTCACTATCACCTTTCTTTTACACATGAGGGAACTAAGGCACAGAGAAATTAACAGCTAAGATGTAATAGCAACAGAATTGAAACCCAGGCTCCTGACTCCAAGTTTTATTATACATTGTCTCACTATAAGATATATCCTTATTATTAATTTCATATTTTGGATAGGAACTTTGAGGCTTAGAATCATATCCCAAGTCATTCAGCTGGTAATTAACAGGTACAATTCAAATTCAGGTGGGTTTGAAGACAAAGTTCATAGGAAGAAATATGAAGGTGGTTAGAATATTAAGAGTGTGGCCACTGTGAGACAGGTTGAGGTGCAAAGCAGTGCTGAAGGGAGGAAGGAACATCTCATTTACTTACTAAAGAAGCAAGACGTGTTCTTGAGAACTTCACATTGATCATCCTTTCTGATAGTCGAATAATTCCATTTAGAGAAATGAGAGAGGGAAGAGAGGAAGCCATTGAAAGTAAAGGCAAGAGAAGACAGACAATTTTGGATCCTTGCTTTAAAATATAATGGACAGGGTCTGGCCCGTGGTGTAGTGGATAAGGTTGGCATGCTCTGCTTCAGTGGCCCAGGTTCGTGGGTTCGGATCCTAGGCACAAACTTACACCAGTTGTGAGCCATGCTGAGGCACCAAGCCACATGCAAAATACAGGAAGATTGGCACAGATGTTAGCTCAGGGCTAGTTTTCCTCAAGCAAAAAGAAAGGAGGTTTGGCAACAGATGTTAGCTCAGGGGGAATCTTCCTAACTAAAAAAAAAAACAAAAAAAAACAAAGAATGGACAAAAAGACCAATCAAAATGCTATGATTCACTAAATTCTTCTTGAATATATACACACAACAAAAACTATCTTAGGATAGAAAATAAATTAATTCAGATTATCAAGTAGCCAGCCATGGTTTAGTTCTTTATTCTGTAAGAAAAAAGCTCATTTAAACAAAAGTGTTTCATGCCCTTGTAGAAGCTACATAAGAAAGAGTGACACAAAATAAATGAATTTGTGGGTACAATACTGATATGTGGTTTCCCAATTCTTTGGACACAATCAGTGGTTCTTGCCCTCAGACCCACAGAAGCCAATTTTTGCAACATTAAAGCCAGTCTAGAAACCACAGAAGCTATTTACCTAGGAAGGAGCTGTTTTCCAATTACCTAGATGAATAATTTTGCCAATAGGACCAGGGACTTTTATGTGTATTCTCATGGCATTAGGGACCAGATAATTGAAGAATTCCAAACAGGCTCATTTCCAAGGGACACCTAGGGAACAATTAACAGGGTTATTGCCATTGTGAATTTTTTCCTAAAATACAATTACACATTGGTAATATTAATTGGTATAATTAAACATTGGTGATTATAATAGAAATATGTTTAGTTATTTGAATAGGCAATCTTCACTTTCAGTAATATTGAGGTTGTTTTTAATGACTCCTGGAATCCTGCAAAGGTTCCTCTTTATTGTGGATGCCCTTTGGAAATTGTTCAAATATTTAAAAATATAACTATTGGGACAATGTCTATTCATATTCTCTTCCCATTTTGTGATTGAGTTTTTCATTACTGTTGTTCAGTTGTATGAGGTCCTTATATATTTTGGAAATTAACCCCTTGTCAAATATATGAGTTGTAAATATTTTCTCCCAGTTGGTGGGTCGCCTTTTCATTTTGCTCATGATTTCTTTCACTGTGCAGAAGCTTTTAAGTCTGATGTAGCCCCATTTGTTTATTTTTTCTTTTGTTTCCCTCGTTTGGGTAGACATGGTATTAAAAAAGATACTGCTAAGACTGATCACAGAGAGTGTACGGCCTATATTTTATTAGGAGTCTTAAGATTTCAGGTCTTACATTCAAGTCTTAAATCCACTTTCAGTTATTTTTTGTGCATGGTGTAAGATAGTGGTCTACTTTCATTCTTTTGCAAGTAGTTGTCCAGTTTTCCCGGACCATTGATTGAAGAGACTTTCCTTTCTCCATTGAATGTTCTTGGCTTGTTTGTCAAAAAAATAGCTGTCCATAGATGTGTGATATTATTTCTGGGTTTTCAATTCTGTTCCATTGATGTGTGTCTGCTTTTGTACCAGCATCATGCTGTTTTGATTACTATAGCCTTGTAGTATATTTTGAAGTCAGGAATTTTGATACTTTCCGCTGTATTCTTTTTTCACGGAATTGCTTTGGCTGTTCAAGATCTTTTGTTGTTCCATGTAAATTTTAGGATTCTTTGTTTTATTTGTATGAAGAATGCTGTTGGGATTCTGATTGGGATTGCATTGAATCTGTAGATTGCTTTAGGTAATATGAACATTTTAACTATGTTTATTCTTCTAATGCACGAGCATGAACTATCTTTCCATTTCTTTACTTCTTTGATTTCTTTCAAGAATGTCTTATAGTTTTCAGTGTACTACTCTTTCACCTCCTTGGTTAAATTTATTCCTAGATATTTTATTCCTTTTGTTGTAATTGTAAACGGGATTACCTTCCTGGATACTCTTTCTGCTAGTTCGTTGTTAGCATATAGAAATGCAACTGATTTTTGTATGTGATTCTGTGAAGATACACAGATGGCCAACAGGCACATGAAAAAATATCCAACATCACTAACTATTAGGGAAATGCAAGTCAAAACTACAATGAGATATCACCTCGAACATATCAAAATGGCTGTGATTAACAAGACAAGAAATAACAAGTGCTGGGGAGAATGTGGAGAAAAGGAAATCCTTATACACTGCTGGTGGGAATGCAAACTGGTGCAGCTACTATGGAGAACAGTATGGAGATTTCTCAAAAATTAGAAATACCATATGATCCACCTATTCCATAACTGGGTATTTATCCAAAGAACAGAAATCAACAATTCAAAAATATATATGCACCCCTATGTTCATCACAGGATTATTCACAATAACCAAGATGTGGAAACAACCCAACTGCCCATTAATGG